TGTCTCAGTATGATACGCAGCTAAGTGCCGCGAGAGTGTAGCCAGTTTGAACGATCAATTATACATGCATGGATTCTGAATCTACGTCACCTGTGTCATGACGTGGTCTGTGGTGGAGAGCACAAGCACTACCTGTATACAGAAATGCAGCCATCCAGCTGCCAAATAGACCCTATATTTAAGCCAGCCACGGGGAGGGGGGGGGGCCGGGGGGATCGGCGAACCGAGAACCGGGATCATAGAAAAAAATATATGTCCAGGTATATATATATATATACACATGTCTACAGATGTATGACGAACCGGGACGGCCCAATAAGGGGGCGTGTTCAAGCCATCTACACATATATATATATATATTCATATATTCATTTATTTTTCTATTTCTTTATATACTTATTCATTCATTCGTTTCTTTTTTATTTATTTATTTATCTATTTATGATGACCCGGAATCGCCAAATGAGGGGGCGTGTGTTTAAGATATATGATGAACCGAAATCGCCATATGAGGGAGCGTGTTTAAGCCATATGTATATAGGATGGTGATGAACCGGAGTCGCCAAATGAGGGGGCGTGTTTACGATATATGATGACGACGCAGAATCGCCATATGAGGGTTAGGATGTATGATGACCCGGTTCGCCAAACGAGGGGGTGCGTTTAAACATACTTCTACACATACACATATCTTGTGTATATATATATATGTTGATGAGATGATGATGATGATGAACCGGAATCGTCAAATGAGGGCGCATGTTTAAGATATAATTATGCATGATGCTGGGGATTGCTATCGCAAGCCCCCGAGAGTTTTTTGCGAGATAACTACTTGGGGCCATCGCTCCAAGCTCGTGGCGCACAGGGATGAGCATGAACTTAGAATCGGTGGGCGTGTTCCGAGAACCACGGGAAAAGCACGCAAGACCAGACAAAAACACATCACCCGCTTTGTTAATCGGGCAATCGTTGCAAGTCAGCGGTCGATGGGGCTGGCATTTCTGCTCCGAAAACGAACATTGCAAATCTCTGCACTCAGCCCCGTCGAGCACCAATGATTTCCAAGACTACCAACATCTTCGTCCCCAGAGTTTCCGTAAGACCGGTACCATTCCAACGAGAGCTCTTGTAAATTTTCGGTATACAGAAGTCTTAGACAGTGTGGTGTGCAGGGATTGCCTTCGGTTGTGAACGTGTCGCGTGGATGTGCTACAGGTTTCCAGCCATTGGATCATTTTCATATCTGTCATCTTCAGGTCGGCAACCAGCAAGAACCGCCACAGCCACAACCAGCAAACGCCACGTCCAGAAGTAACAACGACCATCACCACAACAACAACAGTTAGAATGGCATCTATTATAGAGGTAAAGAAATCACAACACCCGTGCATGCACTGAACCCGATTGTATCTTCGAGCCCAAGCCGACCATTCAAACAGGCACTGGCTCTTTTCTTCTGCCTGCAGCAGCGGTCGATGGTTGCGGATGTGCCTGGGATCGATGCAAAGCTGGGGTAGCTAGGCTCAGGCTCAGGGGTATGTTAGGCTTTCCGTGTTAAGTCTTCCAGTCTCACGTCTCTGGTTTTGGGCTTCTTGAGATGCTGGACACAGCAGGACAATGACGGAATACTTGGGGTAAAGAAAAGACTCTGGGTTTCCGGTTGTTGTCTTGAAGTCGCAACAGAGCCGCAAGCGCTGAACCCGGGTGCGCAAGGATCAGCTCCGATTTGCTGTAGGATGTGCGTAGAGGGTTTATTTAGCCTTATGAAGTTTAATAAGACTTAGGCACAAGTTGGCCCCAAAATCTTCGCCCCGCACGACGTCGCGCCTGTGCTCCATGAAAGGTCGTCGTGCACAATGCTGCCATGAGCGCCTTGTCACGGGGCACGAAGTGGCAGGCTCGAGAAATCCGAGATCTGCGGTCATGTGGTGTCTGAGAATCATGCCTTCGCGATTTCGTTGTTTGGAATGGCTCAATGTCAAGAGCTGGTTTCGGGTTAGGGTTCAGTAGAGGTTCCGGGTACAGAGGTTTGGTAGCGCATGGGTGTCTCGGATCTCTGGACTTTCAATTCGCACTCCGGCGCCACAAGGCAGCGCCGGTGATCGCTCCTGTGAGGCACGAATCTTCAAATCAACATCGTGCATGCTCCTTTATTCCCCGAACGCAAATCCTACTTGAGCAATGCGCCTCACTAAACTGTAGTTTTCATCAACCATAAGTCCAGCAGCTTAAAGTATACCTTTCTTTATAACCCATAAACAAGTCCGAACCGTTGAAACCAGGTATACAGCTCAAGTAGAACGCTTTGAGCGAGGCAAGCCTTTGCCTACTGGCACAGCTGCCACAAAGGCGTGCCTTGGGGTGGCTCTCTCTATCTGCAAGCGGGTCAGGGCCTTCGAGGATATGTGCCGTATGCAGAAACAGATTATGCGTAATTGTGTGTGCGTGTGTGACTGCGTGTGTAGGCTTGTAATTACTCGGGGAGCTGGGGCCCTTTGATACAACCATGCTGCTGTAGGGATGGGCGATGGGCCCCCAACATTCAGAAACTCCCAGATGCGCACAGACACGCGGACGACAAAGAGAAAACCGAGAGAGTAGAAACAAGGAGAGAACGAGAGAAAGACAGAGCAACTCTAGCAGTGTAGAGGACACCGCAGACGGATTCTACTGCATCGGGCTCAGGACATCTGCAGACGCAGCAACCGGTCGTCGTCAAGGGCTGTAAAAGCTCAAAAAGTCAGATTCTAATTCCGGAGGCCCTTCCATTATGCAAAATCAGATATTGCAGTGGGCCTCTTCGTTGACTTCAACTTCTGCTCATGTCCCGAGGCCGAAATCTCACCCGACGAGTAGGGTTTACCAGAAGCCATTCGCTAGTTCAAGCTTAGAGCCCCCCAGTTGAAAAGCCGATTGGCACCATGTTGTTAGACAACCGAGTAGATGTGTTTCTAGATTCGTGATGCCCGTGATTCAGCTGGTTCTGAATTTGTCCTAGCCTATCCGCTGTTGTGATTGCGCTCATTCCTACAAGAATCCTCTTGCTTCTATCTCACAAGTTGGAAGTCTACAGGATCAGGCTTGTGTAAGGGCTGAGAGCTTGATATATCACGATCTGGAAGACATGTGCCTCCTTTGATTGCCCGAGCGTCGGCACCGATGACCGAAACGCGACTTCCGCGCATGTGCTTGTGCGCTCCAAAGTCTTGAACTAATGATACTCGCCTCTCGCCCCGAGACCAGTACTGCAGAGACGAACCTCCTGCAGGCGTTGCCGGCCAACGGTCGTCTCTTTGGGTGCAGCAGTCTCGCCACTTCTCACAAACTTTAGCAGAGTATGGGCAAGGTGTGCAATCCGGAGGCGCAACCAGTATGGGCAGGTTAGACTTGCACTATGATGCCTACTGTCTACCATCCTGTTGCAGTTTCGCATTTCGGGTGCAAGTGGCCTCCCCGTCTTCCCGACGATGCAGGCTTCAGGCTTGTGGCTGCTTTGGGGCTTCGACCTACCCCTCAGCCTTCTTAAGTTGTCCGCACAGGACACCAACTTGCTACATACAGGTACAAAGTGTAAATCGCAAGCAGCCCAAAAGCTGGTTCCTTCTGCAGGTAGAATGAAGTTCTCTCAGTTGTCATTTTGGTAGTTTAAGACAAAAAGGGATTCAAGGTAGAAAAGCAGGATCTTCATTTTTCGGACTCTTAAAGTAAGATACCCCTAGTACTTCAGTCTTCGAGACTCTCGCCCGCCAATTATGAGTGGAGGATTCTGGCATCCTCGTCTTTGGAACCGCTGGTAGCTTCGGGGCTTCGAATTGAAGACCCGATTGAAGCTGTAAGAACCCGTACTTCGCCACGGAACGCTGCACGAGACTATGCAAGCACGTGCGATCACGATGAAGGCATAAAGAGGATGATGATCATCAAGCCTCAGGTCCTGCGAACGCGGCTCCATTTGGCGATGGGTGCTGGCCATGTGCCTTGGCAGCAAGTGGTTGCAAATGCAAATTTCTGACTAATGGATTCTGTCTTATGGTTTGCCGTAACCTACTACAGAACTTCGCTTGTTCGTGCCGTCCCTGTACATTCTATAGTTTACATTATTAAGCTACTTTGAGCATCCGGTATTGATTAGAGACAATATGTTTGTATAAATTTCCTTGATATTGATTCGGATGGCTTGTATTGATTATATCAATTATATTGGTATTGATTTTTCTCGGTGAAGGTATGTAGTTTGCATATGTTTTTTGTATGGGTTTTGTTGATTTCTGGTATTGATTTTTCGTGCCCCCTGAACCCTCGAAAGAGGGTCACAAGATCGATATATATATATATATACAGACACATACACACACACACACATA